TTGCAGAATAACCTGCCACTTATATCTACCTCGTATTCTACCTCCATGCTCGTACGTAGCCGGCTATCGTGGCTATGCCATGGAGTGACAGTTGACTGCCTAATGTACAGGTGTATATGTACCACGTGCACAGTGAGACAGTTTTAATAGGTATAATTATTTAAAACAATTTTGTATTAATGTTTGGTAAGAAGTGCACAGAAACTTGGGGAGCCAAGGGGGATGTTGGGTAGGCCTAATTAATGCTGGGATGTTTGGTCATGGAGGAAGGAACACAAGGAGTTCGAACGGGCCGCTTAACCCCCGCAGATGTAATTTGCAACCAATTAGCAAGCTGGCCGACCAGCGCAAAAGGCATGGAGACCTCCTAGGGCGCGAGACAGATTTACGACCCTGATAAGGTCCTTTGCTCACAGTGTGTCTTGCCGCTTCACGGTCACACAGAAGACGTTCGTGCTTCAAAATCATTGGAGTTCACAAACTATGCACAAACAAATGCACGTGATCTATCACTAAAACGCATGCGCAGAAGCATTTTTCACACCATATAGCGTGCGCAGTGTATTCCATGTGATACTCCGAAAAATTCTGAAACGATTGATGTTTTGATCGTCAAAATCCAACTTTCCATCGGTAAGTTTCGTCACAATTCCGTTGTTGGGATGATCGGGGAATTATGAAGAATATGAATCCATATTTATGAAATTAAGTGGCCTTTCCGAGGCATTCCAACTGCCGAAAATCGGGGAATGTGTTTGTGATGATTTCCTTTGTTAACTTGTGTTGGTCAAATTTTGGAGCGATGTGGAGCAATAAAAATATTGGAAGAATAAAATCGGTTTTTTTTTTAGAATTTTTGGTGGGGTAAAAGGTCATTACTTTTTCTAAGCATAGTTAGAACAACTAATAAGACCATAATATTAAGACAGGAATAATAATGGGCTAGAAGTTAGAACTAGAAGCATATTTAAGTACATAAAATATTTGTAATTTAGGCCCTTTCTCCATATCATGTCCATCATCCGTGTCGGTCAACAATTTTTTTGGATGACGATTTGATTTTATTTTTGACAATTCTGAAATGGAAATGTACAAGACTGATGCAAGGAGCAAATTTGCTAGGGAGGATTTAATACTACAATCGCATTTTTTAAGACATGATTGTTTCAAAGCTTTTTAAAAATATATGGACCTTCCTCCATGGTCAGTGCGGTATATGATTCTGTGAATTCGGAGTATTAATGGATATTCTACCTTAATTTTTACTCAAATTTGTTACAGATTTTACCCATTTTTGTCAGCATTAGAAATAGTCACGTTGTCAAAGGTTTTAATGTAGAATCCAGACTCCACTTCAGTTGAAAGCAAATGAAACCTTGTGGAAGTACATGTACATATCCATGTAGCATTTTCCTGGATTTATCTTAAGATTTTTCTTGACTGTAGGATTTTATGGCATGGATTTTTCCAGATTTTAGTAATTTTTTTTGACTTTGGGATTTTGAAAGATTATTTTTTTAAATGTGAAATTCCTTTTTTTCAGTCAAATTATGAGGGAGCATGGACTATGGAGGAAGGTGTGTTCCCTCCTTCATGCATGGACAGAAGAAAGTATTTTACAAAAATGAAACTTAGCAATGATTGCTTTTTGGTTACCAATATCCTCTTTGCCCCATGCCCATTACTTGTGAAATTTTCTTTTTCCATCAATCCATGGAGGTGCCATGCATGGAAAACATTTCAATGTTTTGCACCTGAAATTCAGAAATGTTTTTCCAAATTGGTCTGATTTGTGTGTAAATGAGGATTTTGTTTTTTGTTTCCTAGAATCAAATACATGTGGTCTGTGCACCATGGGCAGACATAAGGAGTGCCTTCGGGAAATTTGTAGGTTGTGCAGTTTCCCACGTGCAGTCCAAACTGATCGTCAACCTGTCAAGAAGGAGCAACTGAGCAAAATCATTCAAGCTGCCTTTGGTTTTGATGTCAGAGGAGATTCTGAAGATGTCCATCCACCTTTCATTTGCAAGCTTTGCCATTTGAAATTGAAGAAGTGGTGGGCAAAAGCTCAAAAGAAGCAGAGAGCAAATTTAACCATTGAATTGACCACTTTTGTTGAAGCATCTTGTGAGAAGTGTTCTGCCTCCAAACCCAGTGTTTTTTCTGAGCATGTAGGGGAGTGGGCTGCAATGGCACAGAGGTTCGGGTGTGCCACTTGGCAAGGTGAAAATCTCTTGCAGATCATGAAGATGAGTGCTGAAGGATTGCCGGTGGCCTTTCTCACCATACACGAAGATTTCACATGGCAACTTGTTGTCTCTCGAGTTCCTGTACCACTGGAAAGCCACCTCACTCAAGGTGTTGGTGAAAACCTCACAGTTGAGCATTTGGAAGTGTTGTTAAAAAGAGTTTCATCACTGTTTGTTTGTGAGGGCAACCAAGATTTTGAGGAGTTGATAGAAATCAAGAAAGGAGAAGAAGGCCAGGTCCCCATCCAGATAACAGCCAATGATAGTTATGATGGAGTAACCGTACGCCACAAGAAATGTCTTCTGTTGGTTGAGAAGAAAACACGATGTGAGGTCTGCCAAATCTACAGGGCTGACCTTAATGCATTGCTTGGTCAGCAGAAGGCAAAGAAAAATCAGGTCATCTCCACATCTTCGAAAATTCCAAACAGCAGTCTGACGAAGAAGCAACTGAAGACTAAAGTGGCCTTTCTTCAAACAGAAAGAAGAGGTCTAAAGCGGCGGGCCGACAGTTTGACTGAGAAGATTGCAAGCATGTTGCTAGAGGAAAGCATAGGTGTAGATAGTATTCAAGACGGAGGGCTACTATCCACCATGGTTGACTGTGATGCAGAAATGAGAACTGTATTGGGAACAGAAACTCCGGCCCGTCTCCTATGGGAGCAGCAGAAGGAATCTGCTCTGAAGGGCAAGCAGATGAGATGGCATCCTGCAATCATACGCTGGTGTATTGCCCTTCAGAGCAGATCGTCCTCGGCTTACAACCTCATCCGGCAGACTGGCTTTATAAGGTTGCCACATCCGTCCACTTTGCATCCTTACAGCCATTTTGCTAACCCAACTACCGGCTTCAATTTTGATATGTTAGAGAGGATTGTCAAGGACTACAAAATTGATCAGTGCCCAGAACGAGAGTCAAACATCTGTCTCCTTTTTGACGAAATGAAAGTCAAGGCTGGTTTGGTGTTTTCAGTCCGCTCAGGAAAAGTGATTGGGTTCACTGATGTGGGTACGGTTGCGAATGAATTGGCTGAGTTTGAGCGCAAATGCAGAGGTGACAACGAGCCAGAAATTGCATCGCATGTAATGGTCCTAATGGTACGGGGTATATTCTCTCGTCTGCATGCACCAGTAGGTTACTACCCCACAGTCGGTATAACTAGTCATCAGCTGTATCCATGTCTTTGGGAGGCTGCATTGTATTTGGAGTTGGCTGGTTTCAAGGTGCGTGCATTTACTTCAGATGGGGCATCTCCGAACAGGAAATTTTACAGATTGCACGAAGATTCCTCCACTACAGCAGATGTAACATTCTGTACCGGCAACCCGATGGACTCCCAGAGGAAGATTTTCTTCTTCTGCGATGTGCCGCATCTGGTTAAAACTACCCGCAACAACTTGGAAAACTCTGGTTATAATAACAAGACCAGAGAGCTATTTGTAAGTTAGAATGAAAAAAATAATTTCTGGCAAAATTTTATTGAAATTTTGAAACTAAGTGAAATGAACACAGTCTTTTGTGTAACAGATTATATACATGTTTTTGCATGAATATAAAATTGTGCAAAGTGATGATTAGTTTTTTTTCCCAATGATTTTTAAACGAACAGTACAACAAGCAAGAAATCAAATGGACCCAGCTTCTTCAGCTGTATGAATGGGACATTGGTCTAGACCGGCATTCTCCTGGACTACGACGTCTTCATAAGATTACTTATGAACACCTGCACCTCACACCATCTTTGAGGATGCGTGTTTACATGGCAGCACAGGTAAGTATTGAGATTTGAAGTACTGAATACAACATGACATTAAACCCCTTTTTGTAGCATGTAGACCTTCATAATCTATTCAATATTCTTGCAATGCACCGATGAACAGAGTGAGGTACTTTAAAATCAAATAAAACTTCAATAAATTAGAGTGGCCTGATATGTTTTTTTCTCAGGACCAAGACATCTTCGAATAAAACTTGTCAACACATGCCTAAACAAACTGGCATAGCCAAGGGAAAAGGTCATAAATGACACACAATGAGTAATTTTCTATTTCCATTCTGACAAATATTTTGTGCAAGGTGAAATCAGAAGTTCAAATATGCAGGGAAGGCTATGCTGTTGAATTTATATAATTTATATAATGTATGCAAGTCAGGTTTCATAATTGTTTTATCATCTATTTTTTCTCTGAAAAGGTTCTTAGTAGTACAGTGGCAAATGCCTTGGAATCATTCGGCAAATCAGGCACATCATCTACCATCAAGTTCCTGCGTTTCTTTGACCAGTTCTTTGATTGTCTGAACGTTTCCAACTCACACGAAGGGAACCGACTGAGGAAACCGGCACTGGATCCATACAAAAGATCCGATGACTGGCGGTTTGAGGTAACTAATGTCTAAACTTTAATGAACAATTCTTAGTAGAATACAATTAGCCTATAAATGTCAACTGTGAGCCTTTGCCTGAAAAGGTTAACTTTGAAATATTAAATTCATGTCCTAAAACATGTAGGAAGAATGCACTGACAATTTTGAAAAAAAAGAGAGTTACAGTTATGGTAGTTTTACCATCAAAATATGTTTTTATACTTTTCTCCAGATATATTTTTGCAATTGTATTTGAATATTGACTGTAATCTTTTAATGTTTAATTTGTAGTGGCTGTTGAAGGAGTTTCTTGGGTTCCTGAAGGAGTGGGAGGAAGAAGTGCAGAACCTCAAGGACATCGACAAAGCACTCCAGAAGAAGATGTGTCTCAGCAAAGAGACGACGGATGGCATCAAAATCACAGGTACTCATGATTGTATAGATTTTTGTTCTAGGTATGTCTTGCGGTATAAAAATCTTTGCGTAATATGCAGTTTAGCTGTGTCCGAAAAGGGGATGGCTTTAGCAGTCCATTGTACATGTATATGGATGACAAGGCTACCATGTGCAATGTTATACTTGACTGCTTCAAAGTACACAATGAAAATTATTCATTTAGTGACTTTTTTCACATCAAATCTTCTATAAACCCTGCACATATTTGGAACACCAATTAAAAATTCAAGTCAAATCATGGCGTGAAGACGTTGTGATCGTCATGTGTAATGTGATGTAAAAGTTCAATTTTTTTCAAGTGCCTACATGTATATGCAGAGAATGTTAATTAATTTCAATTTGAATATTTTTCCACATTCCCTCGCCAACACATTTGGCCCTTATCTCCCACCCTTCATGGGAAATTGCTCCTGCTGATCTTTAATGACATTGAAACATTTGTGTTAACAAATTTCAAAACATGATTTAACCAGATGGATGAGCTGCAGTCTTCACCCTACACCATTTTGAAAATGAGGACTTGTTGCTGTAAAACGTTTGTCATTGCACTTGATTTTCAGTACACTCTTTTGTGGAACTGGGGAAACTGCTGTTAGATTTGCCAGGAGTCGAGTTTCTCCTCTCAGAGAAATTCAACCAGGACCCGCTTGAGGAATATTTCAGCAAGCAACGGGGAGCAGGTGGAGCAAATGACAATCCAACAGCTGAACAGTTTGCTCACAATATGCTGTCCCTATATGTAGCATCTGATTGTGCCAAGGCTTCCAAGAGGGGTAACTGTAGGCTGCAAGATAGAGACCAAGGAGAATGCTCCATAGACAATACTCCTCTTCCACGTCGAAAGTGATCTGTACTTAATACAATGCTCTGTTATTTCAGAAATGAAGGAGTCAAAAATAGAGATCACACACATTGAGACTTGGTTGGCATAATATATTTACCTCAATGAAACTAAGCTTTATGTAAAAACTGTACATTATCATATATAGTTTTGACAAATACATGTATATGTATTTCAAATTTTCAGAGATATTACATGGACATTATTGATGTTGGAAGTGCACACTTTTTCGTTGGCTGGCATTTTCTAAATTTTGTTACATGATTGTACATGTATGAGCTTATATTTCCTTTAAATCTTAATGCAGGGAAGGTTCAACAAGTTAAAAAATGTTCTGTATTCTTTTGAAATTGCGAATTTAGTCAGTTTTACCAGTGTCAAAACAACAAATTGATCTAAATGTGAAGTGTTTAGAAACTTGGAAAACAAATTTGACAGTTGAGTGCATGACAATTTCTTTTAAAATTCCAAGTTGGCGCGTCCACGTAGATTTTCACTCTTTTGCCAGATCTTTGCGAAGTGCCTTTCTGCCTTCTTAGAAACCTTTCCGTTAGTTGCCTTTTTAAGATTCAGATATACATTTATGAAAGCTTTAGTTCGTATTTTAATCCACTTGAACACAACAATCTCTAACAATTTTTCTGAAATTTCTCCATTTATTTTACCTTGCGTTATGCTACACCAATAGTTTTGCACTGGTTTGTTTGACAAAATGTTTTTACATAAAATACTCTGGATGTCTACACCACTGAAATTGTGTATGTCGTCTGTGTTCAAAACTTCCTACTTACAAGTTCCATACTACGAATTAAAAGATAAATCCCATCAGAAACATGGAACAACCCCCCTCGATTTTGAGTGACAATCCATTCATTTGTATACTGCAAAAATGTTTGTGCTGTATTTGTGACACAAACTTGCCAAGTTCTTAAAAATTTGCAAAATGTCTGTGCAGTTTCATTCTGCTGTTTTTTCAATTTCTGGTCTAGACTATAGGGTATGTAACCAGCAACATATCTCAGTACTTGTTCTTCTTCGGGAGTTATGGGTTTCATTTCGGGAGTGTTTTCTTTTTCTGGAAGATCGGCTGTGTTTTTGTCTTTGATAATCAAATACAGAATAGACTGCAATAAATACTGATAACAGATTTCAGCAAATTGTCCATTGTGGCTTATGTTGAGCGATTTCAGAAAACTGATCCATGTGTTTACACTTTTCAAACGGTACTGATGAAAAGCTTTCCACATGGCATCATATGCCTCTGGTTTCAACAGTTTTGCATCTCCAGCAGTGACAACCAACCACAGCGAAGTTACTGTAGATAAACTGAAGTTTTTAAATTCTTCCGAACTTGTCACTTCAGTCAAGCTTACAAGTAAACTCATGACACACAGTGCTATTGGATAAGTAGCAGACTTAAACAGTTGATGTTCTTTCATTTCATCCAGAGCTGCAACTACGTATGTGGTGGCTTTTTTGTGAGCATCTCCAGCAGAGAACTTGGACTTTGGTCGTTTGACAGCTGAGAAGTTAAAAATAAGAATTGTAATATTTGAAAGTGTTGATTCAGTCATTTTCACAACACACATCCACATAACTCGCTCATAATGAACTATAAAAGTGTGGTTCTATTATTATGAAGGGTTAGTTTACCTATTCTCCCAGCTTTCTTGACTTTCTCTTTGTGTGCCTTGGAATCGGACATCTTTCCTTTTGAAACTGATGCCACTCCGGTACTGGTACTCGCATTGGATTCTGGGACATCTTCCATACTGACAGAAGCTACATCTGCAAAATATTGCAATTAAAAAAAATTACCTGCACAAAAATAATAGTACTAGGCTTAGTATTATTTTATTTAAACACAGTATGATCACGAGGGTTTGTACTCATTTAATTTTGTTAAATAATTTGTTCTGTTCCCACAAAACTGATTGAGGCCTTGGGACCTAAATCAAAAATTAAAAAAATAAATTATTCATCAATATTCAGTCATTCATGAACACATTTAACCATGCAGGAAATAGGGCCTCGGGCCTAACAACTTTTTTAAAAAAATGAGGAGTAATTGCAACATTCTTTCAACATGTTCAAGTAAATTTTGATGAAAAAAAAAACCTTAAGGAGAAGACCCCTATAAATGGGGGAAACTATACCAGATTTTTTAGTTGAGCTTGCTGGCCGACAACGATTACAAATCCACGAATGCTCCGGGATTGTTTCTCTGCTGAGGCCAGCACAATCGTAATGCCACCAAACAACGGTGCACTGGTCGTCATCGCAAGCGATCATTTCTGATGTGGACGCTTCATTACAAACACAGTACTGACGACCATCGTCTTCAGAGTCGTTGCTGATGTCGGATAACTCATTCACGTTCAAATCATCTTCAGAAAAATCGCTCAAATCGCTCAAGTCCGAACCATAAACGAAATCTTCTTTGCCGTACGCCGCCATGTTGAAATGGATTTGGTAAACTGAGCATGCGCAGTTGTACACCCATAATGCAACACGGTAAAGGCTGGGATGGCCTTCGTCGTGATAATTAGATTTAGATAATGGACTTGCGGTCTTCCCCCCCAGTTGTTTTACGACCGTGGCAAGACAGTCTGAACTTTTGATGTCCACTTCGTTCGAACTCCTTGTGTCCTTCCTCCATGGTGCTAGTAAATGAATAAAGGTAGACATCGTAGAGGGGAACAAATTGTCTATAATAACAATCGCTCGCATCCTTCATCATTTTAGCCAAATGTTACGCAACGTTGTCATGAATTTGTTCCCCTCTGTTAAATCTTCTGAGCTTGTGCACATGAAATGTGAAAAAGGCATATTTAAGAACGTTAACATGATGAAGAAAAAAGGAACATCGCCAGTTCATACACATAGGCCCATTCAGTATTCTCCCATGTTCCTCACAGTTTGTGGTGATGCTGAATTTGCTCTACATGTTTACATGGACATGATTAGGTGACTATGTGATTAGTTTGGTTAAATCATCAAACTCTGTTCAAACACATGAAACATGATGTTAATTAAGAAAAAAAGAGTAATTGCAGAATACCCCGCCACTCTAAAAAACGACCCCTGGAATGCATGGTTACGTGGGTACAAGGTGAAAATCCCTTGAGAAGAGTGTGACACTTTGACCTGTACCTGGCTATGAGGTTGATCGTGTGGGGTGGCAGGGTACTCTGCAATTGAGCTAAGAAAACAAGTTGGCTCATTGTCGATATTGTCAACGTGGTCGCGGCATGTCTGGCAGTAGGGGTGCACATCACATCAGAGACAGTCTCAAAACTCAGAGTTTCTTTATTCAGAGACAAAATCGGTCTTCCAAAAGAGAGAATGTCTCCCCAAACAGGGACCTTTTTTCATGAGGGCTTGGGGATAGTACATGTACCATTGCCCTGGCTAGGGATCCTTTTAAAGCCCTAATTGGATTCAGCAGACGAAACCACCCAAGACTGCCATTTTAAAACAAAATTCCACAGTTTACTTCCAGGATTACAAGCAGGACTCTGCAATGGGAAAAAGACCACATCAAAACAATTTTACTGAGTATCAATCCTTTCCATACAGTATAAAATTGAGTGATAAAATACAGAGTTCATAAAAAACAACTTCAATGTCTTAAATGAATGGAAAATATGGGAAAAGAATTGATAAAGAGTATTAGGGATTTTTTCCCAAATCCCACTTGGGAAAAACAAAATCCTCTTTTAAGGAGACATTGTCTCTTTTAGGGGACTGGTTTTGTTTTCAAATATGGACTTCACAGAATTTAAGGGCAGTCCTCGAGTTGTGATGCGCGCCTCCACTGATCTAGAAACCAAATAAAAGTTCAATTTTTGCTTCAGGAAGGTGCAAAATTCAATTCTATTAGTAGTTCTTAAAGTGTGAATGTTGTATATGTATATGTATTGTGAGAGTGCTTTTTTTCCCTAGCAATGGGGCTAAAAAGATTGTGAGGAAATTTGCATCTTATAAAGAATTGTACATCACTGGAAGTTTATGCTTTTGCGGAGCAAATTGTTGTTGAAAATGTAGGCAATAAATTCTGTACTGAAGTTGCTCATTGGAATTTCAGCCCGTTTGGTACATGCACATGGTCTGTGAAATCTTTCCTGTCCCTTTTATCACCTTCATGGTGTTTTCCAGGACACTTGCTGAAGTCTCTTTCACAAAAAACCAACTAAAAGGTATTTTTTTCACTGTACTTATTGTTTCCTTATTGTAACTGTTCATTTGTCTAGAAACCTCCAACAACATACAGAGTTTTTGACAGATCGGTACGTATTTCTTTTGCTTTCTTTTGTTTCTTGTGCCTGTTTTGCTCTTGGGCTTGTCAGCGGAATTTGTGCCTCTTCGGTTTAGCTTTAATATGTTTATTGTGAGTTTTTGTCTGAAGAACCGTGTGGGAAATAAAAAGAGAGACTTTGATATTACGTAAGTTGTGAAGACACTTGGTTTATATTAAGTGTGGATTACTTAAGCTTCACCTTGTATCTTTTGCCAGGATTACTACACTGTCCATGGTGAAGATGCACTATTTACAGCCAGGGAATTCTTCAAAACACTTGGTGTTGTCAAATACTTGGGTTCTGGTGAGTACCTAAGTTGAATTCCTAACTGAAGTAGAAATTAACTTCAGGAGTTAAAGAGCAACCCCAACAGTGGTGAAAACATGGGAAATGCAGTTTGATATACTCACGTATTTTCTTTGTAATAAGTTATATATGAAAAGTGGCACTATGACTTCTGAATAAATAGTAATAATGCGGTAAACATATGGACCAATTCTGCTGGTTTATCAAAACTTTCCACGTTTGTACCATAGGGGGCGCCACGCAGAAATGCTTTTTTGATTATGTACCACCGTGGAAACGAAAAACATCAAGACCTTACAGGACCTGGTTTTGTGGATATGTTTTTGTGTGAAGGCCTGCATGCCTGAGCTGCCAGCCTGGCCTGACACTTTTTTCGGAATAAAATAACATTAAAAAAAACATTGGAAACATCTGTGCTTCACTCTGAACTTACCAAGCCTTATGTATCAAATGATCTTGGTCTCCTGCACCGCCTCGTTCACCAGCGGTGGCCCCATTGTCAGCCTGATCGGGATCCCTTGGCGCACCAGTGGCACGATGGGTTCGAAGCAGTAAGGCTCTGCGCCTCGCCTCGGACAGTGTATAACTGTAACTACACATGAGTTACTATACTACATGTACGTGTAGTTATGTGCATTGACGTGACCGCGCCGGCTCAGTGCGTACATGCACCAGCTAGAGAACCATTTCCACAGCGCTACGTCGACAAAATCCTGGAAAAGCTGTATTCATGAGATGTAAATGAAGCGATGACAACAAGCTCCTTTCATGAAAGCTAGCCATGGCGCCCGGCAGAAATGGGTCTCAAAAGCGATTTTTTTAAACCAAAAATATTGCTGAATCCGGGTTTATGAGGCATAGATGTCTATAATGGGATCCAAGTAAACATACTATGGCCAGATTTCAAACTACATGTATGGTTTGCGGATTATTACAATCTGTTTCAAGTCTGAAAAATCCTGAGTTTATCATAAAGGTATTTTGAGGTTAGTACACAAGAAATTGGTGTTTAAGGAAGGCTTCTAAATGTACTACAGACCCTAGGCTGCCGTTGGGCTCTTAAAGCGTCTGGCGATTATTTTATGGATATTTCACTTTCCTCTTTTCTCACTTCTGTGTATTAATCATGTGAACATACAATAAAACTGATAAAGTGTTTGATGTACATGTACACGTACTACCCTATGCATGTACATGTATGTATCAACATAGTTCAGTGTACATGTACATGTAGGTAACTATCTAAAGCATGTCAGAATTATATTCTTTTAGAGTTGGGAGTTCATACATTTGTGAACCTGTGGGATTTTTGTCGCAGCTTCGCTGAAGCTGTGTAGTACTGGGTGTGTAGTGCTGATATGCTGGTGACTTTGCAGTGGTCGTGGCTTGATATTTTGTAGCCTGTAAGTACCTGCTGCAGTTTGCATTTTTTTTTTTGGTTTTCTTTTATTGGAATTTTTATATTTAGGAGAGCGGAAAGTGGCCTCCGTGGTACTGAGTAAGATGAACTTTGAGAGTACAGTGAGAGATCTGTTGCTGGTGCGGCAGTATCGTGTGGAGGTGTACAGGAACATGGCCACAGGGAAGGGCATTGACTGGCAGTGTGCTTTCAAGGTGAGGATGTCAAGCAACTTTTGGAATAAATGCGTAGCGTTTTTTTTTTTTACAGAATTTGGTCCGGTCTGGTAAAAATGGAGTGTTTTTAAAAATTATATTCAGATGCAATCTGTTAGCAACTTCAAACAATTTTATCCAGACTTTTTCCCTTAATCTGACATTGATCTATCTAAAACTATCAGAAATTGAATCACAGTATCAGAAATATTTTTCGGTAGTAGTCCTGCCATTCTGTTCTTGTAGTGTCATTTGTACAGGTGACTGTAACTGGTAACAAATACTTAATATACACCAATACTTAATGTGCACCATCTTCTGCAAGAAAAGCTGTTCGTTATTGAACCATTTTTGCTTGGTATAGTTATATTCTTTGTTTTCCCTGACATTTTATATCTATGCTAAACAAAACTGAAACGTTATGCACATCTCTGCAGGCGTCACCCGGAAATCTGACCCAATTTGAGGATATTCTCTTTGGCGCCAGCAATGACATGTCAGCTTCGGCTAGCGTAATCGCCGTCAAACACATTGCAGAGGGCTCTGGTGGGCAGAAAATTGTGGGAGTGGGCTATGTGGACGCCACTCTCCGGGAGTTGGCAGTGTGCCAATTTGCTGACAATGAGCAGTTCTCAAATCTTGAGGTATAGATTGAAGAGGCAACCTGGCATTAGAGGAATGAACTTGTTTCTACTGGGACCAGTGTCAACATTGGAATTTGCTGAGTACAAAAGAAATCAATAAGCAGAATAGGTTACCAGTAAACAAAATTCACAGCATATTTATATTCCTTCTCATTGGTTCTATGTGGAGGGCCAGCATTTTATGAAATTTGGCCCTCATATCCTTATGACAAATGCTATGGTAAATTTCTGTATGAAGGTGTTTAAACTTAGTTGCAAGAGGTCAAGACAACAGAACTATAACACAATGATGTTAAGCTTGTTCCCACTTGCCCTTTCCCATGGAAGTGAAGTGGGACATGATGTGTCAAGCCCCCATAGGGAAGCGCCCATGGAAATAAAATATGACGCCATTGTGTCTCAGGTCTCTTAGTGTGACTTATTTGTAAATTCCAGGCTCTGCTCGTCCAGCTCAGCCCCAAGGAGTGTCTCTTGCCTGCCCAGTCAGGCGAGGGCACCACCGAGTCCACCAAGCTCAAAAGCCTCCTGGAGCAGAGCGGGGTGCTCCTGACCGAGCGCAAGAGGGCCGACTTTGGCACCAAGGATGTGGAGCAGGACCTGAACCGCCTGCTGAAGGGGGCCAATGAGGAGCAGCGGAAGGCCTCTACGCTTGCAGAGATAGAGAAGACGCACGCCGTTGCCTCACTGGCAGCCTTGATCAAGTACCTGGAGGTGCTAGTTGTTACTTTTTGCTGCTACACACTGATGCTTTTTTGTGTCTTGAGCTTCGGGATGCTGATGTCATCCATTGACCATGCTTTTGACCAAACAACACCGATATGACATCATACAAAAACAGATTATATTTAACCCTCCTGGCCTTAACCACTTGCTGCCGGGGAACCCCGTTTGAGCACCATGGGTTTATTCACAGAGCCGGGGTGCCCGAAATGGGACAAAAGAGCTGGTCCGTGAACAAAAGACCTTACTTGGAACAAAAGACCTGCTGCTGGGAATTGCCATCATTTTTTGGCTTGCATTTTTCGAAGGTAATCCGTCACTGTTTTTAAACAGTATACCACTGTTTTGGGCATAGCGCACCCGTGGATTAGCACCATGGACAAAAGTGCTCCAGGGCCCCATTGATGGACGACACAGCACCAATACATGCTAATCCAGCCGCATTTGAAAAGACGCCACTCGCATTCACTGGGGACAAAGGAAATTATGCAACACTTCAAAATTCTGGCGGCAGGCCTGGCTGAAATATGTAGGAGTCGGTGAAGGTTACCTGTCAGCTTAGAGTAATCACCAAACAGTCATTTGTGTGGGTGTAAACGTCCATTAAATGAAATGATGAATTTTTGAAGAATTTTGAAAACTGAACATCTTGAAAATTGCCTGTATGTGTGCACTGTATTTTTAAAAGCACCCAGTAGCATGTAGTTAATATTTCTACTCGCTTAATTCCCCTTTCCTCTACCGTAAAAATTTTTGTGACTACTTGATCCACCACAAAGCTGGGAGGCACTCTCAAGTAGCCTGTTACTTCCTCATTTTGATTGGAAATCTCAGTTTAAGCTGTTGGACACACTTCACTACCAAACTCCATGTGTGCTCCTTTTTTTGCTGCCTCGAGACATTGCATGGTTTTTATTCTTCAGAACTCTTTGCAGGAAAATGTGTACTGGTTTTTGTTTATTTTCCAAGCAATTCTAATTTTTTAGTCGATCTTTGGAGAAGTAATGTGCATTCTCAGTGCACTTTGTCCATTCTTTTTTTTCAGTTGTTAGCCGACGAGAGCAATTTCAACCAGTTTCGCCTGAAGACCTTTGACCTAGCCCAGTACATGAAGCTGGACTCAGCCGCTGTGAGGGCATTAAGTCTTCTTCCCACCCCACAAGATGGTATGTTGAAAAAGATATCACTCCAAAACAATTGTGCAGTATCATTTTTAAAGTATCGTTTAGTCCTTGAAAATACACTTGTGTGCACCACCTTCACGAAGAAAACCGTATTTCTGGGCTAAAACCTCAATATTGCACTTACATTAGCACCAAAAAAGTTGCCAGAAATTTAGACTTGTTTGTTATGAGTTTTTTTCTTTTTTTTTGATGATTCATTGCTAGTGCCTGGGGTAAACCAACAAGTAACCCTTTGCCAGATAGTTTCCAGTGAGTTTTAGGTTTCTAGTTTTGACTGAAAAACCTATTAAATGCATGGCATCTTCTCAGAGTGATAGCATGGAAAAGTTCATGGTTTATTAAAAAGGAACTGAAAAGGGATAGCAAAAGTTAATAGAATAAGAAGAGTTGAAAGTTGTACATACTGTGCGTCGTAAGAAAAGTTCGTTGCTTAGACCCTTCAACTTCCAAACAGTGTGCTTTAGTGTGAAGGTAGTTCTCTTGTCAGAAAAAACAAAAGTTTTCTTCAGATTTTAGTGGTGAAGTGTACAGTCAGTGAGAAAACACACAGAAGACGTTCAAAACGACAAATCTCAAAAACAAATATATGCGAGTCTTCCTTGAGTAACATTATATCCCTATATACCAGACCAGGACTTCTAGTGTTACATCTACTTACTTTACAGCTGGCAACAAGACCGCATCAGTGTTAGGCCTCCTCAACAAATGCAGGACACCTCAAGGTCAAAGGTTGTTGGGACAGTGGATCAAGCAGCCACTGGTGGATAAAAACAAAATAGGTCAGTTAAAAACATGTCAGAATGTTTACCATCTGGTAAAAAAGATAAACCTTGAGATTTCACACTTGATTTGATTTTAACATGAAAATGAACTTCCAGGTGTTTTCTTTTTGAATCAGAAATATGTCAAATTAAAGGATATTCTTTGCAAATTTACTGAAAACCTGGAATGTAATAACTGCTTCCTTTTGATGTGTCACCTCTCACTAATTCTCCAGTAAGAGTCCCCATGCAAAGACAGACTTGCTTTTTCTACTAGAAACAAGTAAAAAAGAACCTTGTCGTGCCGAGTAGAAACTTGCGGAGTCGTGCCATTTTGTGCAAATTTTAGTACTGGCCAGAACAGGATCCCCCCAATAGTTTCTTACAAACAAATAAATTTCTAAGTATCAGCCCAAATTGGAGCTGAGTGCTCGTTTTGCAACCAGTGTGTATTTTTTATGTAGTTTGAAGTACAGTTTTTTCTCACCAAAGAGCCAGTTCAGTATTACAACAGCGCATGCCCCAAAAGTTTCGATCAAAATCATTCGGGACGTGCAATACACATGTTTGAGGTATGTCCTTTCAATGACACCACGTCCCCACACGTAGACTCAAACTTTTGCGCTTGGTTCTCGTGTGACCTTGCTCACTGTTTAAGATCATGGCCACAGCTCAAGATCTGCCAACAACCCACCCACCCCCTTAATTCACCTTGTTTCAATTTGTACTGGGCAGAAGAGAGGTTGAACGTTGTAGAGGCACTTGTCAGTGATACAGAGCTACGCCAGACCCTCCAAGAGGAACAGCTAAAGCGCGTGCCCGACCTCCAACGACTTGCCAAGAGGCTGCAACGCAAGAAGGCCACACTAGAGGACTGCTATCGTGTCTACCAAGTAGTGGAATTCATGCCGGCTGTGCTCGAAACACTTGAGAGACACGTCAGTAATCACAGCACGTTGTTAAAAGAAGTCTTCACTAACCCCATTAAGGTATGAGGGTCAACGTTCAAAGGTTAATCAATAAAATTATACTATTAGGTATTCAGAAGCATTTGGGTTGTTGAAATATGTAGCTCTAAATGGCAGTAGTTTGGCTTTGGTACAGAAACCATAGTTCACAAGGATGATGGCAAACTTTAAACATTTTAAGATTGAAAACTCAGCGTCAGGATGAAGTCGTCTATGTACCATAGTTCGCAACCTTCATTATTCTCTGTTTTCCTGTGATAAGCATACTGTAGATTAAAATGTTTCCTGATTTTGTGAATAGCATTCTGAGGTGTTTATAATGATTGCCATATTTTCTACCCTCAACAGGAATTGCTTCTCGACTTTGCCAAGTTTCAGGAGATGGTGGAGACTACGATGGACTTGGAGCAAGTGCAGAACCATGAGTTTCTGATCAAACCAGACTTTGATGAGAACTTGACTAGTAAGTGGGAGGTCCTCTCTACTCTTTGATACATGCTTCTGCCCATGTTGCCTCACAACAGTGTGTTTTTTTTGAGAGCCTCAAGTGTTCCTGTTCCTTTTGGATCATTCCTGTTCTTTTTACAATGTTCTGTTTATTGGAACAATTTTATTACCTTTCAAACATTCCTGGTCTCTTTTATGCACATTTCTATTCTCTTTTTAATATTTCCTTTCCTCACAGAACTTTCTTATTTGGTACATTCCAGTTCTTGTGAAACCTTGTTGCTTCTGGAACTTTCCTGTCCCCTTTAAACATTTCTGTTCCTGTTTAGTTACTTAATTTCTTGAATACGCTACACGCATGGTCTTCCCGGGTGAAATCTCAGGTGGCAGGAATTCATTAAAGTTCTTAAACCTGCGAACAAGCACTTCATGATTAAGAAGCCACCTATCAGTATCGTAAGCATTTATCTTCTAACAGAGAAGTGAAAAAAATGCTTTCCTATATTACATTTTAAGACTTGAGAGAACGAATGGACAGTCTAGAGAATGACATCCAGGGTTTGCTGGGTAAAGCAGCGAGGGACCTCGGGCTTGAAGCCAACAAGACAATCAAGCTAGAGTCTAACAACCAGCTGGGATACTTCTTCAGAGTCACGAGAAAGGTAGGGGCACAACAGATGCTTGAGCACTATGGATTTGTGCACATTGGGATGAAAATTTGTCTTGTGTATTTTGCTTGATTGTGCAAAACTCCTGCAGCATACTCTGTGCCCTGATCCTGAGACTCTATCTTATGAGCTATCATACATCACCATCTTCTGTCAACAGAGTATACAACTCATCCATTGAAAACGCTTCACACATAAAGTATGCCAACTTATTCAAGCATGTAGCTGTTTACAGTGTTGACCGAAATTCCTGTGCGTAAACATGCGTTGTAAGTACCACTTGCGAAAACTAGCTTGTAAACAGTTGGACATAATTACAAGGTTCTGAAACTTTACATCTATAAATTTACAACCGTAACAGGGCCTCAAATTTCAGTACGATTTTAAACACGGCCTTTTTCTATCATGCCTGTCTTTTTAGTACATTTTGTGATGTTATCCTCCTGTGTACCTAGGCACAGCATCACACCATTTCAACTGTCAGAATTAAATATAGAATCAACTGCCCAGTCAAAACACATTAATTAACATGTATAATTTTCTTATTTATGAAATTCAACTATTTGATTCATAGGAGGAAAAAGCTCTTCGGAATAATAAGAAATACTCCACCATCGACACCAATAAGAACGGGGTTCGATTCACCCACTCCAACCTTCGGGGGTTAAACGAAGAACACATGGCAGCAAAAGAGGAGTACAATGAAACCCAGAAGGCGGTCGTAGCGGAGATTGTGAGCATAGCAGGTAGGAATGGGCATGGCTACAGTTTGCAAAGGGTGTGAGTGGTTGTCATGGGTGGGCTGTGGGTGTACACATGCCTCTCACCGATGTGATACTGGGTTCGATTCCCGGCCTGGGCTATGTGTGAATAGAGGTGTTCGTTTATTCTCTCCTGTGCATGAGGGGTTTTGTCCAGGTGCTCCAGTCTTCCTCCCTCTTCAAAAAATCAACTCAATCAACCATAGACTTTAATGTCTTTATTCTATAACATATTTGAGCATAATTGTATGAAATCTGCATGCACTGTATAAATGAATAAATTATTATCATTATATAGTGTTAGTGGAAACAGTGGAATTGTATGTTTTGTTGAAGCATTGAAAAAATTACTTCTGCATCTGGTTTTTTTGCTTATGGCTTCTTTGTGTAAGTATGCACTAGTGACAGAGGAGTGTGGGTTGACCCTTGAATGGCATGGCCTTTGTGTGAGTGGTGCCTGTGCTGAAACATTTTTGAAAAGCGTGGGGATTCCTTTGTTTTTATGTGAAAACTCCTAGAAAATACTCCCTGCTCTCATACTGTGAGCACTTTTTACAAAGCTGGATTTCGGTTCGTGATTTCCTTGGCTGATCCTCTTCATTTTGCCAAAGGTAGCACTAATCCTCACCCCAAAATGCCCCTAAAACTCCCTCAAGAGGTGCAAAGCTAGTGTAGGGGTTACTCAGTCATCATAAGATGTACACAATCTGCAACATGTGGACCTGTTGTTCTCAAGTTTGAACAAAGATGGCAAATTGGCCCATTGTGTTTGATTTGAAAACTGCCTTAACTGTTCTACTTTTGCCTGCAGCTGGCTACGTTGAGCCCATGCTAAACCTGAGTGACATCCTTGCCCAGTTAGACGTTCTAGTCAGGTAACATTCACAAACAACTTGCATTTTCTCCTGATCTGATAAGAGATTGTTCCTGTCGGTCAAAAGATGTGTAACATGTTGACTGCTGTGCATAATTACAAAGGGGCGTTCCTATTTACCAAGCGTACGCATGTGCACATATTTAATTGGTACCTTTCAGGTGTCTATTTGAACATGAGCGTTTTGCAGCCGTTATGTCCTTATCACAACCAGTAGCACAATTGTTGTGTTCTTTGGTGATGCCATCGTATTCAAGTCACATAATGAAAGCCTTTCATTTTCTACAAGTATACTCTAAGTGGCAGAATCCAGTACACCTGTTACTATGAGTACACTTGTAGTAGGCAGTCAATGTGTTAACCACTTCTCATCAGATGAAGCGTAACTATGCAGAATTTCCTGTGTCCATAACATTCTGGCGTATTCTGTGTGCAGAACCGGCAGGGTTTCATCTAGATGTAAACTTTCTGCCTGTTCTCCTTTAGCATTGTACAAAGTACAAGTAAAACTGCTTGTCCACTCCTGACACTATTAGGGGGATACACCCTTCAAAGTTAGCTCTGCCCATGTCTCCATTGTACCCAAGGCTTTAATGTATGGAAATTTAAGGATTTATTCACCATTGTTATCAATTGTGTAATAAACAGGGCCTGTATACACACACATAGACTGTAAGTAGCCCATGGAGGTTTGCGTGTGTGTTTTTGTTGAGTGTCAGTCGTTGTAAAGTCCAACTTTTTGGCTGTTGCATCTTGTCATTTCAAGAAGTTGGTATTTTAGGCCAAAAATCATGCCCTTGGGACAAGTTCATTGTAGAAAAGTACCGTTGGCAACTGGTTAACACGCATGTCATAGTTTTGTGTTTCTTACTTGTATGTATGTATTGTCTTTTAGCCATATTTGTAAAATATGTAAAACATTGTGCAATTCGGCCGTGAGGCTGCGATATGATGTTTTTAAAATAAACCATTTAATAAATAATAAATAAATGAACCATGTGTGAACGGGGTTCCATAACAAAAATAGTTTGTAATTTAGGGCTGAGTCAATTCGAATAATTCACTATTCGAATATTCTACCTTCAATTTGATCGCATATCCAAATATTCGTTCGTACCGACCAGCAGACTGTTGATGAACAAACTATATAAAAAATCAGTTGCAATAACGCACACAATTGTATATCATGATCAATATAATCGCTTCTCACATCTAGGATTACCTTCAGCCACTATTTAGCAAAATTTAAGAGATAAAGAATTCTTGCTCTGTTGAAAATTTCTAATCCTTTTAAATTATTTAATGAATAATTTACTTTTTAAATCGTAAGATTTCTGAAACTTTTCATTTGAATCTGCTTAAAGCAAGCCTCTACAGTGCAATTTTTCTCATTTAAACAAAGAAAATTTCCCTTTTCTTGAATTTTATATTCAAATATGCAAATATGAAAACTAATATTCGAATATTCGACAAAAGATCAAATATTCGGTTATTCGTATATTCAGCACAGCCCTATTGTAATTAAGACTTGTAATTAGCCTGTGTATGTGTTTCCAAAAATTAGTGTTTACAAACTATTAGTAGACAGTAACTGCCTTTGCTTCAAATTAGTTGTGGCACCTCCTTAACATTTTTTATAATTTAATCAAGCAAATCTTTCTGAAACTTAATGATCCACTTGCGGTCTGTTTTCTGCAACTGCAGCTTTGCCCACGTCTCTGCGCATGCTCCTGTGTCTTACGTCCGACCCACGCTGACGGAGAAGGGGCAAGGCGGTCTCAGACTGGTCCAAGCCAGGCACCCCTGCTTGGAAATGCAAGACGAAATTGCATTCATCCCAAATGACGTGACCTTTGAGAGGGGGAAACGGATGTTCCATATTATCACGGGCCCCAACATGGGCGGGAAGTCCACGTACATTAGACAGGTGAGGTTAGAATTGATAGGGGCTGCTTCTGTGATAGGGTTTGATCAAAAGATGTCAAAGGCACCTCCTGACCTCATGATTTATTTGAGGTTGACCGTCATTGAAGAAGGCCAGCATTTGGCCAACAACCATCTAATGTGCATAAAAAAACAGGACAGTGAAGTTTATCTTTTCACAAAATGACTGTCTTCGTTTTACAGACAGGTATCATTGTCCTCATGGCTCAGTTGGGATGCTTCGTCCCCTGCCAGTCAGCGGAGATCTCCATTGTTGACTGCATCCTGGCCAGGGTGGGTGCCGGGGATAGTCAGCTGAAAGGGGTCTCGACGTTCATGTTGGAGATGCTAGAAACAGCATCCATTCTCAGGGTATGTGGAGTCCCTGATAAGCATTGGTTGTATAAAGGCTGGTTTATAGGTTGTAAAATTGTGATATTAAAAGCCACCGAATCAAAGGTGATATGTGAGTGGAACTGGACATGGCTGAAAGAAAAGAGCATCCCAGTCATTATGCACTCCTCTCACCTTGGTTGTGCACTTCAGTGCTATTTGCCATGATTAAAAATGTTCAGTTTTTTTTCTAACACAATTGCCAAGGTGTCAGGTTCATTGGAGACTTTGAGATGCTTGATCTGGGCTCTTGCATACAATTATGGCCATGCGCGTGTTGTTCTGAGCATGTGCGCAACTGTGGAAAAGGACCCATTTGGTTGCCTCCACCAAGCATCTCACAATCTCCCAGTAGTTCCATCTGATGTCTAATTTTCAGACTGCCACTGATAATTCTCTGATCATCATTGACGAACTGGGCAGAGGGACCTCAACGTATGATGGCTTTGGCTTAGCCTGGGCAATTTCAGAGTAAGTTGAAAAGAGCTTTTGCAATAAGCCATTTGTGAGTTAATTTTAAATAAAATCTTGTGCACTGAGTTATCTGACTGCACATAAATATAAAAAATTGAATTCCCCAGACTAAAGACACTGTTGCAATACCTCATGATTTGGGGCAAGTTTTTACATAGCCACCACATCGATCTCTGGAATGGACTGGTTCCTTTGTGCCCTTTTTATCCATTGGAAAGCAGTGTACTGTTGCAAGGCATCTCTTACATTGTATGTAACTAAGCAAAAGCTTGCCCTGAATCACGAGGCATAGCAACAGTGTTTTCAGAATGGAGAATTCAAGTTATGTTTACCTGAATTTAAAGAACTCAGTGTACCAGATTTGGGTCAAAGTTAACTCCTAAAAGGCTTATTGAGGCCTTGCATCCCAAAACTTATACTTCGTACATTGAATTAATTTTTCTTTCTTGTGACCAATCTGATTTATTCATACAGCAGCACTGGAGCGAGATTCTGCAATGAAGTGAATGTTAGAAATGGGTGATTGCACAGCACATCATAGAATAATAAACTACTAAACACGCAAACTTTTTCTGAAATGCTTGTGGGATGATTTTCATGGTAGACAGTGATTGCATTTTTGGATATGGCATTATGATGCTTTGTGGCATATGGGTGATTCCAGAAATTAGGGGTCCTGCTTTTCATGTCCCTGTCACATCTGACATATGATTTTGTAAGTTCAGAACACATTTTCTAGAGTGATGAATTAATGCAAATCACCTGCCAAACAAAAGTAATAGTTTGAAATTCATTCCGGTGATATTTCCATGTCAAATAACAAAGGTCAGATGTAACAGGGACACAAACGTGTCACACTTTTGGACCCCTAATTTCTGGAATTACCCATCTGTAACCTGCACTGTGAAAATGGGTCACAAGTCACCAGAGTCACTTTTGAGATGAGGCCTTTAAAAAATCTGGCACAATATGAAGCACTGGGCCGTCAACAGTTTTCACCCCCATAATGTTAATTTTTATCAGGGTGCCAAACTGTGATATCAGCACAAATGTTTGAGTTGCCTTTGCCCTATGCAAACTTAAATAAAGTTTCTGATTTAGGGCCGTATGACTCGTTTTCACAGAGCAGTTCACATTTTTCTATACACAGATTCCAGACAATTGATATTTTTGTAGTCATTAGCATCCCACAAGCTTTTCTGCTACCCAAAATAGACCTAATAACAGAAGACCATCACTGCAGAGGCATCACCTATACGATGTACTTTGTTAAGCTTGAGGCACTCGTGCATTTTTGCAAGTTGTGAACTCCCCATCGGTCAGATAGGAGTGAAGCACATGGGTACAAACTGCACGCAAATGGGGCAGCTCCTTATTAATGGGTTCTATTTCTGTTCATTGAATTAGTCTGTAACTGTTCATTTTGCAGGCAAGTTGATACTGCTGGACAAGTTTGAGGCATTTCTTTTCTCAAAGTTTCAAACTTTGTTGGGGACTTCTGAAATCGTTTTCAGGTACATTGCAACCAAGATCAAAGGGTTCTGTCTGTTTGCGACTCACTTCCACGAATTGACAGCTCTCGCTGACGCCGTGCCTACTGTGAATAATCTGCATGTGACAGCTTTGACTAGTGACGGGCAACTCACACTTCTGTACAGGGTCAAACCAGGTAAACTGTCAATCTCACTTTGTGCACAGTTTGCGTGAACCTGAGAACGAAAGATATCTATTGCAGGTAGTAAAGATGTTATGTGATCTTGCCCAGGTCCACAGAGGGCCATAAATACCTGGGACAGTTTTTCTATTCTTGTTGGTCGAAATGCATCATGTGACTGTGTATTAACACGTGAAGAGTGTGAAGTTAAGGTCGAACATCAGACATTTTCCGAGCACTTATTGAGTTTGTCCGAAGAAAATCAAAGGTGCTTGGACAAATTGTCCGACCAACATATCAATAACAGCTCTTAAAATATCAACACAATGTATGGGATTATGGCGTCTCATTTATTGTTAGTTTTGTGTTAGAATTACGTTAATTACGCCCAAGGCATTCATCGGGGCTGATCGCTCATCACTGGCCCATGTCACCCAGCTTTATGTGTGTATGTATGTGAAATCGCCCCATAATTCTTGGCGCATCGTCACTTTCATGTTTCGCTGTCAGTGTTGAAAACAGGTGTGCCAAGCTCTATGCATTAAACAGAGCTGCTCTGGTTCCCGCTGCATCGCACCCATGCGAAAGAATGCATGATGGAAATGTAGCAAACAGTACCAGTCTGTACTGTACATCTACTGAATGTACTGTACATAAACACTCTTCATCGGCCGTACGTGTTACACGATGCGAATAGAAAAGGCTGTATGCCGGAAAGATGTTACATGTATGCTGCAATGTTAATTTCGACCCCTGACACTGCACGTTACAACTCAACCTTTTATATAATATGGCAGATCAAAAGCTGGTAATGGCAGAACAAAATTGATTGTGTCATGACATTTTGTCCGAGCACTTTTTGGGTCTAATTTCACGCTCTGCTCTTGATAATGCCCGCTAAGAAGCGATAACGGCTGCTACGTAAATCACACGCTGGCACCTGGATATGAGACAGTTTAATCTGGTCTGATTGGTCAGGAGTCTGTGTGATGTGCCACGTGTGCGCCAAGTTCATTGAAGGGGATTCTATTGGGCAACTTTCAAACGGAATATACTGAAAATTGAATGGGGGCGTTCGGGAAAATTAGAGTAAAGCTTTAGAACAGAATCGTTGGAAATCCATCATATGTTGACTTCTTTTGACTCTCTAAATAAAAAGGTATTAATGAATGGGAATAACGGACGCTGATAATGCTCTTACCTGTGGCTTATGTGTCTGTTCTCCTGAGCTGGTCTTAATCTCATGTTGAAGACTGGCCAAGGGCACATTTTTTCCCTTATTCCCATTCATCTTAAGATATATAGTAATGAGAGATTGAATACATTACAAATGATGACTGGTGGAGGCTTGTAGAAAGTAGCTGTTTTTACCTGGCCAGGCCCTCATAAAACACAGTTTGTAGTACAGTGGTAAAAGAAACAAAAGCAAAAGTAAATAAGAAAAATGGAAAGAAAGGAAAATAACTAAGCTGTAAGTCGTTGTGTCAGTCCAACAAAGTCGTAACTCTCATTTGTTTGTACATGAGATGTCACCTAGTTGCTCTGACTTTTTTGTAAGAATAAACTTTGAAAAGTTTCAGAAGTATTTGGGGGTTGTGGTTGTCCATCTCAATAGGAAGAATGTTTGGGAAACCTGTGCTTTAGATTTGTCTAGTTTCTTTTTTGTAATTCACTTTTGCTCAACTTTGATGCATTGTTTTGTTACCTTCACTGTATTTTTTTCTTGTTTAGGTACATTTTTGTTTCACTGGTTCTTTTTTACTCAACTAATATTTTTGTAGGGTTTGGAAGTTTTTCTACTTTGACATTTGTCGTTGAATTTGACGTTGTTTTGATGTTAGTCATTGAAATAAAATGCAGATATTAAAAAGCCAATCACTCCTCTGTCTCACTTGAAGTACTAGCTGGACTCATACTGATTTTAGCAACTCAAGTGCTAGACGTTAAGCTTCGTGGTCGAAAAAGTGGCAATTTTTGTTATTTTCAAAGTGGTCTTGCATCTGAATTAACACCAAGCACGTGTAACTTGCAAAAAAGATTATTTAGTGAGACACGCCCCATCTTACAGGTGTGTGCGACCAAAGCTTTGGTATCCATGTCGCTGAGTTGGCCCACTTCCCCCAGAAGGTCATAGACTATGCCAAGATGAAAGCGGCTGAGCTGGAAGACTATCAGAGCATCAGCCTGTCGGGAGCAAGCAGCAGGGAGGGTCTTGACGAGCCAGCTGCTAAGAAAAGAAGGCTGGACAAACAGGTAACATGACCAGGGCCCTGACGCCCCTTGTGTTTTCACTAAAGAGCATCCCCATGCAGCCAAAGCCAACCCTCTGCATAGGTTTACTCTCACAGCCTTCAAGAGTACCTTAAAAGACCCCCCCCCATTATAGTTTTCCCCAGTATTGCATCATATCCTCGTGTTGTGCTGAAAATCCAGTTTTTATGTTGATGTCTTGCTGTCATTTAGCACTCATTTTATGAATATCGGTCACACCATTCTTGCCGTTCTGTCCATTTTTCCAAGACGGGTAGACCAAGAGACTTTTTCCTTTAAAATGTGCAGCTTAGTATAGGGGTTGATACATGGCACATGTCAGTGTGAACTGTAGATGACCAAAACCCTTTTGGGTTTAGTTGAATTTAACTATAGAGACGTACTCTTAAAGGATATCTCTTCTGGCCTGCAAAATTCCAAAGGATGGGCCATGGGACAGCTAAGACCTCCCCCCAATCCTGCTTCGAGGTGGTGGTTTTCAGGGATTAGGGAGGTAAATGTGACAAGGAATGGACGTAGCTGTTTGGAATTGAAATTGGCTTTTGCCACCACTGTGGCCCTTTTCCAATACTTGACTTGGGCTCCGTCTCAGGCTTCGTTTCCAAAACCAATCCCTGATTGTGCACCTGAAGCATTTAAATTACATTGGATTACTGTAATTTTGGGCTTTCTTGCATCGTATTTAATGTTCTGTGGCTCTATTAGACTAATTACTGCGCTTATAGCTTCAAAGTTAGCTAGTAAAAACAGTTGAAGCCTGAGACAGAGCCGAAGTTGAGTATTGGAAAACGGCCTGTGGTCCATTGACCATCAAGAACTTAGCAGGGCTTGTCGATGCCTATATCTTTGATAATTTGCCTTGAATTTCAGAGACCTCAGAGATACTATCAACGAACTTTATCCTGAAGCTTATAGTGGCATCAAATCTTTATGGGTGTTGCTTTGTGTGAACTAGGTGCTCAATTTTCAGAAGACTCTCAGTCAAATGTTCTTTAAGTTCCAAGCATAACCTTAAATAGAAATCTGAAATAGAAGCCGAAAAGGAATGATCTGATTTGCTTGAAATGCCCCATTTGAGTTGGTTGTGTTGGAGAGTTCATATGTGTTCATCAGAAATATGGAGCAAGCTCGCATACTTCAATGTCACTGTGTGTTTCTCATCTTCAGGAGGGAGAGGCGATTATCCAAGATTTTCTGGACAAAGTCAGACAGCTGGACACGGACAGATTGTCCGAGGAAGACCTCCACAGCGAGCTGCAGAAACTGAAGGCTGAGGTGGAGGCTAAGAACAATGCTTACATAAAGGATCTGTTGGTGAGGTCAGCTGAGAGGGGTCTGCAACCAGACTGTTGAACCCTGACCTCTGACCTGTAAGGCAAGTTCACCAATATTTAGCTCCTATGTACGGTGAAGTTGGAGGGTTTACTGCAGGATGATTGATTGAAGAGTGGTCCAAGTTAATGTCTTTTTCCTAACCGCATAGTGTTTTTATTTCTTTTCTTCATCCATCTACTTTTTTAGAGGGAAAGTTGGATTTCAAACAAAAATTGCTTTTTCTGAGTGCCCCCCACATTGATCTATAGGTTTACATTGGGTTGATTATGTGTGTTGGCGGTGGACAGGTGAACAATGCATGCACACCTGTATGTTTCCAAATGCCGAGGTAGGCAGCAGTGACCCCCTTGTTGGCTGAGCGTTTAAACGGTATAAAGTTTTATCAAATTAACCCTAACCCTCCTCAATCCTCCAACAGGTGAAGGATTCAGGAGGGTAAGGGTTAAGTTAGATTCCTACCCTTAGTGTGAAGCTAGTTTACATAGAAATGGTACTTGCTGCTAATTTGGGGTTTTGTAATTTTCAGCTACTCTGTTCTTTTAGTTTTTAAGCAAATGAATGTTTAAGAGTACCTTAGCTTATGCCAAATAAATTGTGAAGGGACATAATGGATGGATTCATTTAACAGCATTCAATGATTGAAGAAAGCATAACACCTGCATTCGCTAATATGAAAGTTTTCCGTCAAGAATTGTTGCCAAGTCACCGCTCGTCAATCACAGGTCAAATGAACTGCGACGTGGTCCATTCAGTACTGTTGGCATTGTTCATTCATGAGTGCATAGACTGGCGACTGACTTGTCTTGTCTGACTCATGTACAACTCTGGTTAACTTGAAATGGTTTCCGATCTCTTCAAACTGTTGATGGATGCATTTAAACTTAATGGTCATTGTATTGCGACTTGCCAACTCCAATGTAAGCAAAGAATATTTTTTTAATGATTTGTTAATACACATACTATCATCCGTCATGGTAAATAAAAGCTGTTTGTGCATAGTCACCAGCATGCCGGGTCTAACTTTTGAAGAACCCTTTGTATGGTAATACCAAGGCAAGTGATTTGAACATGGTCTTGTTCTAGTGTAGTGTAATTGCCAGTGACGAGAGAAAGTGAGGCGGTGAGGCCAAATTTTGGGGTTACTGTGTCACTCTCAACTTTTGGTTTATTGGAGATCTCCACTTTGCTCATGAAAACACCATACCAATCTGCCCCTAGCCTAGGGCCCCCAACCCTGCTAGTACAATTCAGCAAATCCACAGGACCATTCCAGGCCCTGAACCTGACGACTACAAAGTTGTCTAGAAGTTTTGGAAAAGATCCAAGGTTGTGGCGCGAACGACCAATTTACACGTATATTCATGGGCACCGGAGCCTAACTGATTGCAACTTAATCCCTCTATTAATCGATCTGGACAATTAAATATCTACCCATTTGCATTTATCTATAACTCACATAACAAAGACATTAACATTTTTAAATGAATGCATTATTAAACCTGGCACTATCTCTCGTGCCCGCATAGCATGTCCAAAACACCAAGATTACTACACGGCAACGTACCGAGCGATTCATGGACAACATGAATAGCGCCCTCATGTGACTACAGCACTTGACAATTAGCAAACACCACAACCTTCCCTACTTAAATGATCTACACCTGGAGATCATTCAAAAACTACTCGTCTACAAACATAAATTTGCATTTCTATTATACAAGTTAAGGACATCATGGACTTATGCTTTGACTTACTGTAGGAAAACCCCCTTTTTAAGATTAAATTACCAAAAAAGAAGACTATTAATAAGTAAGTTAGATTTCTTCAACAACTTATTTATCTTTTTGCAGTAAATGCACCATCTCTACATCTACATCTCTTATGTATACATAATACAGTGTCCAATGCATCACCAACATCGGGCCTCAAAGAATTTAATCAGTTGCCTAAGGGTTCTTTCATACTGAATCATGCCTTCCTTGTTAAGATGCACTCCATCAGAGTTATACCTGGGTGTCGAAGACCCCGATGTTTCCACACAAACCACCTATCTTCTGGGAAAGTCATGTCCTCAAGCAACTTGTTGAAAATTCCGGCTTTCTGATTAAACTGGTTTAACGAAACCTGGTTCCTTCGCATATTGCCCGTTCTTGGCAAGATTGGCAAAAAAACAAAGTCCGGGAAAATGTTCCTAACTTATTTACAAAGCCTCGCAATAAAGCACATAATTCGGCTGGCTCAATGCTTCTTGAGCTCAGATCATTGGTTCCAATATCCAAAATCAGAACTGATGGTTGAACTTTCTGAATCTGCCTGAAATAGGTTTCGGGCCTTCCCCAATTCTACTTAACGTAAGGCCACCGTCGCCTAGACAAGTGACAGGAACCCGAGCTCGTTCTAACTCTACTGTCATAACAAAAGTGCGCTGATTCCTCAACCGCCGCACAAAACTGGCCAAACAAAACAAAAGTCATCATCAAAGTGCAGAAAGGGGGAAACCCTAAGCATTGGAAAGGCAAATACCCAACAAGCTTTTAATTGATACACACATTCTATTCTCATTTATGAAATATCCCATTACTCATATGCAATCGGTAAACCTTCACCCCCTCTTTTTTAAGAAACATATACTCAATCCACCAACTGTGATGCCGCCCCGCTGCCCCTGAGGCATCTGATGAACCTGGCCAGTTAAGCATGCCATGAGGAAACTGGATACCCCAAGACTTTCCATCAAGGCAATACATAACCTTTAGCATTCACCAGACATCCCAGGTCTTCAGCTAGGNTTCATCATATCAAGGCTGAACAAGGAAGGTGGAATGGGTTTCGATGTATACCTCTGGTACTTCTGTAAGACCCCCTGAGAGGTGCTGACCCATCAACATCTATCCCTCCGGGAGGCTTCCCTACTTTTTCATTGCTTAATTCCTGATTTGACACCTTGGAACTACTTCCATCTGTCATGAACAAGCAACCATCTTCCGATTCATCGCCAGAATTGTCAGTACTCTCCAGATCTGACGAAGCCAGGGGATCCAACATTCGGTACTTCCGATTTACTGTCTTTTCCTGACCCCCATTTACCGGGCGGATCCGGTAAACATCCCTATGCTGATTAACCCACACTACTCTGTATGGTGCCCTCTCATATTTATCTTGAATCTTATGAGGGCCTTTAAACGCACACTTCCTCAAAAGGACCTGTGCACCAACTGGGATTGGGCCTGCCTTGGCCTTGGCATGGTATATAGCCTCACGATCTGTTGAGACCTTTTCTTTACATTCTCCGTCACCAAGTCCTTTGCGCGATAAAGTAACTCCTGCCGTCTTTTTTGTAAAATCTTGTTCCCAATCACTATCACAGCGCCCAAGGGCTACACACCTGTACTGCAATGTGGGGTAGAATTGTAAACAAATGTCAGATGCGGTAGCAGATCTGGCCATTTGCACCTGTCCTGTTCATTCACTGATTTGATCAATCCAAATAATGTTTGATTGTACCTTTCGGCTTGGGCGTTCCCCTAAGGATGGTAGGGCGACATCCCCCTCAAAGTTGCGCCCTTGATCACTATGAAGCCGATATGGAGTACCAAACCTTGAGAACCAGTGGTCTCTCAGTGCTTTGGCAACTGTTCCTGCAGACTGGTCCTTGCATGGTACCGCCTGGACAAATTCAGTCATGACTAACACGTCCTCATACCCACCCCGCCCCCTGTCAATCTTTACAAAATCTATGGCTAGAATTTCCACAGGTCGGAACGCTAGCAAATGGCGCATGGGAACTCTAGGAACAGGCTGTGACGCCTTTGCGAGGATACATTGCTGGCACTTCCCAATGTGCTTACGAACCGCAGCAGCCATTTTTGGCCAGTAAACTACGCCTTCTAAGAAGCGAGCAGGTTTGGACAACACCCTGATGCCCCCACCCCTCATGACAGCCTTCAATAGCCCTTTGCTGGAGGACTGCGGGCAAAAGAACCTGAAACAATTCCCCAAGCAACGGGTCTTCCACTCGTCGACAAGAACCCCGCCCCGCTCAACAAACCTCGACCACTGCCAAACCCATAACTTCAATGCAAGAGGGTCATCCTGATTTCGTCTGCAGCATCACCAGGACGCCAATGCCGCTCCCAACGGTCCCAAATTACCTTCAGTATTGGGTCCACCTTTTGCAAATCCGCAAGCTGCCAAGGGGACCAAGAAGGAAAAACACCTGGGGAACCAGCCGTTACCTCTTGCTCATCTGCCTCCATGGAACGTACTTCACATAAGCTTACGTCCACCTGCAAAGGGACCCTTGTTGTTGCTGTATTGTGCTGCACTAACTCCTCTACCTCCTCTACCGAACAGTGCCCAGGATAACGACTGAGCGCGTCTGCGCACCGGTTGCTAGCCCCAGAGCGAAACTTTTCATCAAAGTTAAAGGCCAAAAGCTGCGCCACCCAGCGTAATTCACAAGCACCCAACTTAGCAGTCTGTATATGGGAAAGTGGGTTGTTATCAGTTAGCATCGTGAAAGGCACTCCCAGCAATTAATTCGTTGATTTGTCTACAATAGCCCATTTAAGAGCCAGAAGCTCGATCTTAAATGAACTGTAATTAGGATACTTGGATTCTTCTCTGCGCAACCCCCTACTGGCATACGCGACAGGGTGTTTCCGCCCTTCCGCATCTTCTTGAACCAAACAGGCTCCGAGCCCCTTTAAGGATGCATCTACTTCAAGCACAAACGAGCGGCCAAAATCAGGATATGCCAGAACAGGAGCGTTCACTAGTGCCTGCTTAAGCTGATCAAATGCAACCTGGGCCTCTTCATTCCATTTGAATACTTGAACACGCTTTGCATTCTTCCCCTTTGCCGCCGGGGGAAGCAGGGCATGAAGAGGCAATGCAATCTGCGAGAACCCCTTCACAAAGCGACGGTAATATCCCGCCAAACCCAAAAATGATCTGAGGTGATCAGCTGTTCGTGGTACCGGCCAGTCCCTAACACGTTGACTCTTATCATCTACTGAGATACCCTAAGAGTTAATGACATGCCCCAAATACAAAACCTGGTCATGGAAGAGAGAGCATTTCTTCCCCTTGATCTTAAGGCCAAATTCCTCCAACCTAGAGAACACCTTATCGAGACGGTCCAAATGTTCTTCCACAGAAGAAAAGAAGACTAGTATATCATTTAAATAGATAAGCAACTCTGACAAATTCATGTCTCCCAGACACATCTCCATGACCCGTTGAAAGGTCCCGGGCGCATTTGCCCCATATAGCCCTGTACTTGATCCGACCTAACATGGCGAACCTGGGTGGATCTGGCCTTAGGGATACGCTCAACAGCCCTGAATGTTTCGAGAGCCAAAATCCCGAATCTCTATAAAAGTCTTGCCAGGATTCTCCAACTCAAGTCGTCTCAACTCCAAGCCGGTGCTCTGGCCGCGGGCTCCTGCAACAAACTGGCTTACTATGCTTTGTCCTTTAAACTCTTTAAGGAATCTTTCTGAGCAACAGGAGCAATTTCTAGTATTCTATCATAGAGACGGATGGNCCTTGAGCTTAGATTCAACCCACGAGGCAATTGGTATATGGTACCATCAGAAAACTTGAATGTTCCAGAAAGAGGTTCAGCTTCCTCTTCAACCCGGTTCTCTGATTCAGGAGGTATCACCTCAGACTGGCCTATCTGTTCTGTCAAAAACATGACTGACAGATACTGCTATGCCATCCTGACCAGATTTCAACCTAGCTGATGTGTCTAACACTGCCTCCTGGACAGAGCCCAACTTAGTGTATGGGGGTATTACTAATGCCCTTGCACCGAGATTAGCCACCAGTACACGTACAGTTTTTCCATCGCATTGATCACAACAATCATAGACTTGTCCTGCCTCACTCAAATTGCTTACTCCAACTGACTGCTTGTCTACTGCAGTCATGAGGCCTGATGGTAATCCTTTTACGATGACTACTTTGTTCTGGAAAAACATGCACGGGGGCCCTCATCTGACACTTGATAACTTGCACCTGCCTTGGAAGCACAATTGTGGACTTCCTGCCTGTACGCACAGCTACTTGTCTCCCTACATTGCGGTCAGTCTCTACCACTTTTACTGGTATCGGCTCTTTGACAA